CAACGCGGCAGGTCGTTTGGACAGTCTAAACCAGGACCATTTTCTCCAGAGGAAGGTAATGAATTATTATTTTTCTTGATTCTCGTCTTTCTTTTTCGTTTCGCGTGTGTTGTGGTTTTTTATATACGCTTTAATCAGCTATGATGATGGTAGTTTTTATTTATCTTGTCTCAACAACAGGTTTTTTTTTTTTAATTAAATATCGTTCTCTTTGATGGATGATAGGAGCTCTTAGATGACAAGATAATAATGATAATCAGGTCTGGTAGTAATAATTGATATGGCTTATCATAGCGCTATACAATAATAAAGAGTGCAGTTAGAAAATGATATATCTCTTAATGCATACCCAGTACCTGTAATAGTATTCGAATTCTATGCCCATTTCTCCTCAAAGGACATCCATTATCTCTATTATGTCACCGGTTCGAATCAATAAACGCCACACAGGTAAGCGCACAGACGCTTGCATCTTGAGTTCGAGGGGGACGTACCTCTTCTTTATTATCCAGTTTTAGGAGCTGTTCATTTTTTCCTTATATTTTTCATCTCTGATCATCTCTTTCAGAGCAAATGTGGACCATTTCTAATAGGACGCGGAAGTTGGATTCGACCCGGGCAACCGCTGTCACTGAATAATGACCCTCATACTTACCTTCTGCTATTATTCATACCCAGCAAGGTCAGGTTACTTTATATTGAATAACTTCGATTACCTGCAACCAGACTCAAGTTGAGGCGCGAGAATGTTGGAGGGAAGGAGGGACATAGGAAGGCGGTAGGCAGAAGTATGATCCGGAGGTCACGTGAGGAAGTAGAAGTTACAGAGGGAGGATACGCCGCACAAGGAAGGGAGAGATCGAGATAGTTAAAAACAATGAGATTGTATCAAGAGATGCGCAGTTATGTTCAGATCGTGAGAGAACGCCACGAGAGAGAGAGAGAGAAGAGACGAGTCGCGAGATAGAGAGAGAGAGAGAGAGAGAGAGAGAGAGAGAGAGAGAGAGAGAGAGACGAGAAAGAGGAGGGGGGAGGAGAGTGGAGAGAGAAAAAGAGAAGAGAGAGAGAGAGAGAGAGAGAGGGAGAGAGAGAAAAGAAAGAGATAGATACAGTAGAATACATATATAGATAGACAGATGGAGAGAGAGAGAGATAAGGAGTTAGAGAATAAAAAACATATCCATGCATCTATGTGTATAAAAGTGTCGTATGTCTGCATCCGCGTGTGTCTGTAAGTATTTTCTGTGTGCGTATGTACATATTTCCCCCGCGCGTTTATTATAGAGCTCATCTCCCTTGTCCCTCCACAGGTTTTTCACCCCTATCACCTTCCTCGGAGGACCACAACTCGGGTTCAAGTTCATGGTCGAGAAACAAATGGTTCTGCAAAATTACAACGACTACCAGAAGCTGCTGGCTCGGTAAGGGCGCTTGTGAGGAGGTTATGGTGGTGATGGTGATGGTGGTGGTGGTGGTGGTGATGGTGGTGATTGGTGATGGTGATGATGGTGGTGATGATGGTGATGGTGGTGGTGGTGGTGGTGATGATGGTGGTTGAATATGGTGGTGGTGGTGGTTGAAGGTGGTGATGGTGACGGTGGGATGGTGTGGTGATGATGAAATAATGATGATGATGATTAATGATGAATGGTGGTGTAATGATGATGGTGATGATGATAACGCATGGTGATGATTAATGCATTGGTGTAATAATGAAAAATTCGAATAATTATTTAATGATATGGCGACCATATCACATAAAACAGGAAATAAAATGGAGTAAGAGCAGTGATATTCATGATTAATAATTCATTATAGTGTTTATATATTATAGTATTTATCATAGTGATAATTAATATTTGATTATTATTAGTTGATTAATTTGTTATTAGTTATTATAATTATAGTGTTAAGTAAATTAGCTACTGATGACAGAGGCAGAAATTGCGTTTAATCTAGACATTAATGATCATAATATGGTGATGATTAAAAAGAAACTGTTATTCTATCCAATATGGCCAGTTCAATGTTAATTCACCACCGATTACACACACATACATTATGTATATATATATTATATATATATATATACTTATATAATTATATAATATATATATATATATATATATATATATATATATTATTATACTTATATATATGTGTGTGTGGTGTTGTTGTGTGTGTGTGTGTTGTGTGTGTGTGTGTGTGTGTGTGTGTGTGTGTGAGGTCGCACCTCCAGAGGTGCGGCTCCTCTCCCTCGGGGGCTGCGGCCCCACCCTCCACCCCTTGGTTATATATATATATATATATATATATATATATATATATATATATATATATATATTTTTTTTTTTTTTTTTTTTTTTTTTTTTATTACTATTTATTCCCCTTTTAAACACCACGCCCTCTTTCTCACACTTTATCTTTTTTTTTTTTCTTACTTTTCCTTTTACATTTTCGTTTCCATCTATTTACCCACCCACCCACACCTCTCCCCGCCCACCCACCCGGCCGACGCGATCAGTGGCAGCGGCGCAGCATGTCCTCGAGCGCCTCGACGATCTCCTGGACCGCGGGGCGCTGCTCGTGCTCGGGGCGCTGCGCCCGCGCCGCCAGCGCCTGCAGGGCCGCCGGCGGCGCCTTCATGCTCTCCGCCACGAACTGCAGCATGACGCCCACGCCCACCACGTCGCACTTAGCCGTCACCGGCGTGCCTTGGTGCACGCACGCGCAGTACCACGAGTGCCGGCTCTTGCTGCTCGCGGGATGGCACTGGCCCACCGGCAGTGCCAGACCGAAGTCGATCACGTGCACAGCCGGCGCTCCTGCTGCGCCTCGCAGCTGAACCATCACGTTGGTCGGCTTGAGGTCGCAGTGGACGATCCCGGCGGCGTGCACGGCCGCCACGGCCTCCGCCAGCTTCAGGCTCACCTGGAGGAGCTGCTTCGTGCTGCGCTGCGCACTCAGGACGTCGGCCAGGGTCTCCTTGCCCAGGTACGACATGAGGAGGCGCGAGGGCTCCTCGCTGTACGCCAGGGGCACGGGCGCTCCCCCCGCGCCCTGCAGTCGCTTCAGCATCTCCAGCTCATGCTAGAACGTCACCTGGGAGTCGGGGGCGGCCAGCTTGAGGGCGCACTCCTTCCCCTTGTAGCTCACGCGCACCACGCGCCCGTACGTGCCCCGCCCGACGCGCACCTCCTTCCCCTTCTGCAGGAATTTCCACTCCTTGGCCGAGAGCTTGGCCACCTACATCCTGCTGCTGTCGACTGAGTCTGCGCTCGTCGGATGCGAAGGAGTCGCTCGAAGCAGTGAGCCTCAAGAATCCGACGGGAAGGCTCGGTCCTTCGAGTCCGGGTAAGGAGCTTATCAGGAGGAACGAGAACGGAGGATTCTTTTCATGAAATTTTGCTTAATCTAATATTTTGACGAAGTAAATGTTTTAGAGAAGTGAATATGCTGTCATGTCACCGTAACGTAAATCCGACCCTAATGATACACTGCCGCGGTGGCAGAGTGGTTCATGTGACACCGAAACTGCCACAGGACCAGACGCCAATGTGAAAGCGAGGAGAGAGGAGAGAGAGGAAGAGAGAGATGAGAGAGGAGAGAGAGAGAGAGAGAGAGAGAGAGAGAAGAGAGGAGGAGAGAGAGAGAGAGAGAGAGAGAGAGAGAGAGAGAGAGAGAAGAGAGAGAGAGAGCGAAGAGAGAGAGAAGAGGAAGAGAGAGAAGAGAGAGAGAGAAGAGAGATAGATAGATAGAAGATAGAGAGAGAGAGAGAGAATAAAGATGAGAAAGAGAGAGGGAGAGAGATAGAGAGAGAAGAAAAAGAGGAAGTGATAGAGAGAAATAAAAGAAGAAGAAGAGAGACAGAGAGAAGAAAAAAAGATGAAGAGGGAGAGAGAGTACGAAAGGGGAATTTATTTATTATTATTGTATGGCATGACCCAGAATATTAATACAAAAGAGAAACAACAATTTTAACAAACAAGAGCTGGGAATCGTTTTATCCTCAACTACACCATTAGTGTTATTACAATCGTTATCATCTAGCTTTTTAAATCTGGAAATCGAGCAGATTTTGAGTTCTTCTCTACGTGATTATTTATGATATTTATTACCGGCAGCAGTTTGTATGGTTTTACTTTTCTTTATTGTTTCTTAATGTATATCTATGATTATGTCTGTCATTCTCGTTGTGCTGTGTGTACGCAGCGTTGCGTACACACACACACACACACACACACACATTATATATATAACTAGTAAGCAACGTAGGTATCTATATCTATATATAATATGATATATAAGGTACCACTATATACTATATAGTATGTTATCATACATTAGGCTTATGTATATATTACATATATCTATTATATAGTATATATAACATTAAATATACTAGTTATATCATATATATACTACATAATTATATTATGATTATATTATAAAAAAACACAACCCAATCACAGGATACATAAATAAATTATGATATATATAATATATATACTATAATTAGTTCATTTATATGTTATATATAACATACGTATATATATATATATATAATATATGTATCCTATATGATGACATATATATATATATGATATATAATACATTATATATATATATCGCTATATATATTATATCATTATATATACATATATATAATATGTTAATATATATATGTATACAGTTAACGACTCAATATACTAATATATCTAAGAATATATATATATGATATATAATCCTAAATATATATACACATAAACATAGTATCATACTATTATCAATATACTTATATATATGTGTATTATATAATATATATATATATATATATTATTAATTATATGTTAATATGATATATTATAAGTAAAAAAACATATAATATCATATTATACTATATATTGTATATATGTATAAATATGTATATATATACATAAATACATATATATGTAATATAGTATATATATATGTATAAAAAAATTAGTCACAAATATAAA